ACGTTAAAGACCCCCAGGGTAGCGGTTGTACTGCACTGGCTAAATTACTCATCTACAGCTGAGACACCAAACGCCCACTGAGAAAGACTAACTTCCGGCTGTATAAACATACACACAGCAATTTGCTTGCTGGCGTAACGAACTAGGTTTCTGGCTCCAGTAATTCGCCCTCTCGCTACACTACACTACACAACATGATGTCAAAAGTGGGATCGTGCTGAAACGCTTCCTGACCATGGCCAACGGTACACCCGGAACGGGCCCCCGCACGGTTCCTTCGTTCTTTAACCGCCGGAGCCATTTTCGTTCAGTAACCCCAAGGAATGGCCCAATTGGAAACGACGCTTCCTGTGGTTCCACAACGCCTCGGGACTAAGCAACAAACCCGAAGATCATCAGGTATATACCATACTCTACCTTATGGGCGATCTATCTGAAGACGTCTTTACTTCGTTCCAACTCTCGGCAGAGGATGCAAGCCTTTTCAAAACCGTCATGGCCAGCTTCGACAGATACTTCATACCGCGGAGAAACGTGATATTCGAGCGAGCTCGATTTAACACGCGCGTCCAGCAAGAAGGAGGGTCCGTGGAAGAACTCGCGACGGCGCTTCACAGCCTGTCTAAACACTACGAGTACGGCGACACGCAAGAGCAGTTTGTCCAAGACCGACTTGGTGGTCGGGATTCGTGACAAAAACTGTCTGCCAAGCTCCAGCTGGACTTTAATCTAACGCTGCGCAAGGCACTCGAGTCTACAAGGCATGTGGAAAGTGTCCGCCAACAAGTGGAGCTAACGTAGGACGGGAAGTTGAACGGCAGTATCAATAAGCTCGCCTCGGGGTCCAACCGATCTAAGCAGTCTACTCACACTACGGAAAAGGTTGTCGCAGCCGCGTGGAACCCTGAATCTAAAGCTGCTCATGGCAAGCCATCGTGCAATTGGTGCGGACGAAACCGGCACTCGAGGAGAGACTGTCCAGCCCGCTGCGAAATGTGCGAGAGCTGCAATAGGAAGGTGACTACGCTTCAGTTTATCTTTCCAAACGGATGTCTTCGGGTCTGACGAAGAGATCCGGTTCATTGGAGGGGTGTCGCATCCACAAGCAGAGAAGTGGGAAGCTACGGTGGCGCTCCAAGATGACCCCGTCAACTTCCGAACAGGGGCTGATGAGACAATCATCCCGACAAGCGTGTTCCGACATCTAAAACGGGAACCGCTGCTTCATGAACCACGACAACTTCACGGCCCAGTCCAAGGAGTGGAACAACTGAACATAACCTACAAAGGCTCGACATCACTACAAGGTGTCTACATCCTTGAGGATTTACACACACCTTTGCGTGGCAGACCCGCCATTCAAGTCCTAAACGTGGTTTCTTTTGTGACGGCCTTGCCACAAAGAACAGACCAACGAAAAGGAGCTCGCTGCTTAATGTGACAAAGGAGCTCCCTGCTCTCTTCAAAGGATTTGGCCACATCAAGGTTACCTACCACGTGCAACTTCAAAACGGAGCAACTCCCTTTGCTGTGAGTTCCCCACGCCGTGTTCCTCTACCGTCATACCAGCAAACCAAAGAAGAACTGCAGCAGATGGAATCTATGGGAGTTATATTTCTTGTGGATAAGCCAACAGACTGATGTGCGCCCAAGGTGATAGTACCGAAACCTGATGATACAGTGAGGATCTGTATGGAATTTATATAACTCAACTGTTACGTCAAGAGTGAATGGCACCCTAGTACGTCGGTCGAAAACACGTTGGCACTACTCTAAGGCGCACGAGTGTTCTCCAAACTCGATGCCAACTCGGGGTTTTTGCAAATACCGCTCAGTGAAGAAAGGAAGAGCCAAACAACATTAATTTCGCCATTTGGGAGGTTCTGTTTTAACAGGCTCATTCGGCATCTCCTCTGCCCCGGAACATTTTCAGAGACAGTTTTCAAGCATCCTGAACGGCATCGACGGCGCAGTCTGCCACATGGATGATGTCCTTGTTTGGGGCTTCAACCGGGAAGAGAACAACGAGAGACTTCGTAAGGTACTTCAGCGACTACAAGCCACAGGAGTCACTCTCAACCTTTGCAAATGCTCCTTTCAAGTTAAGGAGATCACCTTCCTGGGCCACAAAATCGACCATCAAGGCACCCGTCCAGATGGCGCAAACACAGAAGCAGTACGAGAATTGCGTTTTCCCACATCAAAGCTGGAACTCCTATAGAATGCTCGGAATGGCAAAATACCTCGCAAGGTTTGTCTGTAACTTCGAAGACGTTCTTCAGCCACTGAGCTCCATGCTCAGCTCGAAGCAAGAATTTGTTTGGGGACCAAACCAACAGACAGCCATTGACAAATGGAAGAGTATCCTGTCCTCGGAGTCTACGACCCTGCATCAGAGAAAGTGGTTACTGCGGATGAATATTTTTATGGATTGGGTGCCGTACTGCGGCAAAGGCGAAAGGACGGGAAGTTCCAAGTCAATGCTTACGCATCAAGGCTCCTAACTGAGACGGAAAGGCGTTTCGCCCAAATAGAGAAGGAACTTGATTGGCCCTTGTTTGGGCATGTGAGAGGTACAGTGACTACCTCTTCGGCGAGGAGTTCACTATAGAAACGGACCACAAGCCGTTGGTTCCTCTCTTCGCATCGAAGGCACTTGATGACCTTACCCCAAGGTTACAGAGGTTGGGTATGCGCATGATGCGTTACAAATGCATCATCACCTACGTGCCGGAAAAGTGCTTCTTGCTGCCGACGCACTCTTCAGATCGCCTCTGTATGAAACTGGCTCATTGGACCTTGAGTAAGAGGTCGGGGCTGATGTACGTCAAGTAAAAGCCAACAGTCCTGTGAAAGAGCCATGCTTACAATGGCTCATCGAGAACCAGAAAACTGACCATGTCTGCCAAGTACTGTGCAAGTACTCCCAACAGGCCTGGCCCAGTCGATGGGACCTTCACAACGATGTCAAACCATTCTACGAGTTTCGGCATCAGTTCACGCTGGAAGACGACATCCTGCTGTATACCGGAAAGATCGTCGTGCCCGCGCAATGCCGGCAAGAGGCCGTACGTCTTCTACACAAAGGGCTTTGGAATTGTCAAGACCCAGGCCAAAGCTAAACACTCTTTGTGGTGGCCTGGCATCTGCAGGGACGTTGAACAGACTGTAAAGAGTTGCCAACATTGCACTGTGAAGTCAATCAACAGAAAGATGCCACTACTACCAACAAACTTCATCGAAAGGTCATGGCAACGTTGGCTATGGACCTGTTCTATCATCACAAGAAGTGGTGGCTAATCGTTGCGGACTACTTCTCTAGGTACGCGGAAGTAGCACTCATCAGCAGTCTCACCTCTGAAACAGTGATTAGCCACTGGAAGAGCATCTTTGCCAGCCATGATATACCAGAGGTTGTCATGTCGGACAACGGCCCTCAGTTTTCGCGCGTGAAAACGTCAGCATTTTCCACATTTGCTCAAATGTACGGGTTCCAACACATCAGATCCAGTCCCCATTACCCGCAAAGCAATGGTCTGGCTGCAGCAGCAGTTAAGATCATCAAAAAGTCGATGGGGAAGACTGGAGACCCATACAAAACATTATTCACGTACAGGACCACACCACTGAACAATGGGTACAACCCAGATGAACTGCTAATGGGAAGGAGACTCCGGTCCACGATCCCAACAGCCAAGAAGATGTTGGCTCCGTAAACTACGGACATGACACGGCTACGAAAATGTGAAGAAAAGCTTCGCGTGAAACAACGAAAGGCCCATGATCGCCGACATAGAGTACAGGACCTTGGCGACATCGTCAACGGCACAGAAGTCTGGGTCGTTGACCTGGAAATAAGAGGAACTGTACACCGTCGCACCTCTGAAGGTCGAGTCAGGAACTTCGGAGGTTTGACTCCTGGCTTTCTTCTGACTGGACCAAGAAAGTCCAATCATGAGAAACAGAACACATCTAATTCCTTGTTCGCTTTCTCCTGCCTCGCCGAACCAATCGGAACCGCCAAAGAGAACAATCTCCAACAAGATGTGGGAACAACTCGCACCTACATAGCAAAAGTGGCCGGTGTCTGAAACCCCAACAGCGATATACTCAGTAGGAAACCTTACGGCTATCCCATAAAAAAGGGGGGATGTGGAATAATGCTGCCATCTATGGACCAGAAGAAACGAGGTCTGTCCTAGGGGAGAAGGAAGAAGAGAAAGACATTCTATAAATATGGATACCTCGGCGTAACGTACTAGGTTTCTGGCTCCGGTAAATCGCGCTCTCTCCACGCTACATAACAATCGGCTCTGCCTTTGCTCGGATCATTCGTTTGGAAATCAAATGCAATCTTTCGATTTATAAACATGCGCACAATAAAATTGGACTGTGAGAAAAATCTTACTAATTTTATTTTTTTTCTTCAGCAGACAGGGGAGCCAAGACGATGAACGAGCACACCTCTATGTTTTGAAATGCGAAGCTGTAATTCTACGCTCGTTTCAATAAAGTTGACAGGAAATATCACTACTTCTTGAGCGTTTTTGCGTCTGCTTTTACACCCTGAAGTGAAGACGAAATCAAAAATCAACAACGTGAAACAGCGTTTTGTAAACAGGCGGATTTGATTTAGTAAGGCCACGTCATAGCGGCAGTTTGATAACGTATCGAAAAGCAAATCGCACAACATACGCCCTCCAAAAAAAAAAAAAATCTTTTACGGGCGGTTGGCAACGTTGTATTTATACGTATGGACGCCGCGGGGGATGCGAGGCCTAAATACGGGAGGGCACAAAAAGCGGACGGGTGGGAACTAACCAACCGAAACCGGGTGGACGCTCGGCCGTTCAGTGGTAGTGGAAAGCAGAACTTTGAAGAGGAGGAGGAGGATTTTTTTAGAGGGTGCGGGTGTGTCGGAGGATCAATCAATGGCGCTCGCTACTTTCCGTATAGACGGGGTTTAAAGCAAAGCTATCTTGGTTGCCGTCTCTTTGCAGATTGAAGTCCTCCCAGAAATTGTGAGTGCGGTTCGTGGACGCGTCGAGGTCTACGTGGACGGCGGAGTCCGTCGCGGCACCGATGTGGTCAAGGCCTTGGCGCTTGGAGCTAAGGCCGTGTTTGTCGGTCGTCCTGCCCTCTGGGGTCTGGCGTACAACGTAAGAGACTGCCCCCGACTTCAGCAACATTTTTAGAAAGAGTTCGTCTTGTAACGGCCTACAAAAATCAGAAAAGCTGTAAAAAAACCAACGACAACAACATTACCTGAATCTTCTTTTGGGAATAAGGGAGGTGCCATATGATACTTATTTATCCTAACCTGTTTACACTATAGTTGCAAGATTAGCACGCGTGAACGAAATTCTACAGCAAAGCCGTAACTTTGTGTAGTTGAAGACTGTTAAAGGCTGAAAGATTTTGTTTGCAGCGATTTCACGGAACTGTCGATGAATAGAATACTCAAATAATTTTAAGGGAACAAAGTGCCGTGCTTCGTGCAGATGACTGAACGTCCGAACTCTTTTCGTTTTGAAGATGCCTTTCGTTGTTTGCCAAAGACATGCATAAATTAATAACACAGTGCTACAAACATATTTCTTGGTGCCTTAATTCAAATTTAAATGTGCACAAAAATGTCTAACTTTGTCAAAAAGAGTACTTAGGCAGCCGATGAAAATCTATCGAATTACAAGATATATTCAGTGAGATAAACTCCTCCAATCTGGCGGCAGCTTGTACAAAAGGGCACTGTTTGAAATTTTACATTCAGCGACAGCCTAAGCACTGCAAACTGTGACAAGTGCTTAGCATTTAATGTTCGCTCTGCCGCCAATGACATGGTGGTATTAGTGGATAAGGAAGTCGAAGAGCGAATCACTAACCAAGGCGTGTGAACTATAATAAAGAGGGTGTTAGACAGGGGGCTGGGCAGTATCGCGATACAAATGTATCGCGATAGTATTTCAGAAATAAATTTCGTATCTGTATTTCTGTATCGCGATACATTTTTTTTCACCAGTATCTGTATTCCTGTATCGAAATACATTTTGAATGTTCCTTTGTATCACAATACAATCAGGGTGAAATGTATTTCGTTACATTTCTTCAGAAATACTCCGCCACCCCCTTGGTGAGGGGGTGGCGCAGTAAACAAAACAAATCCGAATAATTTTTTTTTACTTCTGAGGGCATCACGGTCCCCATGCTGACCAAGGTTCCTTCCGATTCTCCAAACTGTTTTCTCTATGCGTCCTCTTCTCTCTTCTGAGAAGTGTTGCGTAGTCGGGGACTCGAACCAGATGGCATGCCAGTAGAGGAGTCAGAGCTTCTTGTGTCGCAGGTCCTTAGGTAAGGGTTTCTTGAGTTATTGTTTGCTGGCATGCAAAGCTCGCTGCTAACCGTCTCTATTGCCTTAGCGTGCACAGTACACCCAGCCGGCGAAGCTGAGTCAGAGTCCGTTGCAGCCCGAACCTGGTGATGGTTGACTTGAAAACGTAGGATGACCCACGCAGTGAAGTTCAACACATATTCGAATGCGTCTGCGGCTGCGCCCGTAATATTGCACAGCTCAAGGGTACGTCATCAGCCGACGTGAAAGTGACCCGCTGCTTTGGAGATCCGAACCCAAAAAGGAGGTCAGACTTGGCCTCGCTGTGACGACCCAGACTTCGTACACCTGCGGCTCGTCTCGAGCGCGCTGTTTCTCGGAGAGCTCACACTTGTGCCGGCAATATCAGGTCGCAATCCATGAGGTTCCTATTTGGAGTATGCAAGACGAAACTTCAGGACTGCAATCCATGCGTCTGTGGCGGAGGGTCGGCAAGAAGGACCTTCACAACAGGGATGCCACAGTATCGTTTTTTCAACCGTAACAGAAGATAAGACAGGTGTTCCAGGTGGCTTCAGGTGGTCCACTATTCTCGAAAATTCTAAATGACGCTGCCTGCACGATCTTCAACGAGGTAACCTACAACGAAGGTACGTATTGTCCTTTCATACAGCAGCCTGGTAAAGTTTCATGTTCAAGGTCACAACTACAGATAAAGAATACCAGTTCATTCCACCGTGATGTCATGTGATCAATGTTGACAGGAGCGTCTTTATTGGACAGGGGCATGGTGACATTTTGATGCAATTTAGGATGGCATAGAATTTATATAGAGGTCGAAGTTTTTTTGCATCCCTCGTCAGACAGACAGGATGTCAGGGAAGGTACCGCGGTCACTCCCTGATGGAACATTTTTTGAGCCCCCTAAAGACTCCTCGTCGTCCGAAATCACTACCTTCAAGGCAAAGTGTCGAACCTACGGGAAAGTAATTTCAGGATCAAAAACTTTCACTTCCAAGTTCCAACTTCATCTCATTTGGCGTTTCAAACAAATTTGAAAAATGTACTGGGGTATCAGTATTTCTATATTTGTATTTCTGCCCTCTTTAAAATGTATTCTTGTATTTGTATTTCCAAAAACTTTTTGCCTCTATTTAAAATGTATTTCCGATACGTATCACGATACACTTTTACAGATATATTTCAGTATCAGTATTTTAGCTACTATTTTAATGTATCCCAGTATTTGTATTTCCAAATACATTTTTGAGTATTTCTGCGCAACCCTGGTGTTAGATCAGCTATCTCGTAGGGGAAGTGTGCCATCTGCAAGTGGGAAAGACAAACGCTCTAATATATTATACAATCTTGATCATGCTGACAAAGACTGGTAAGCAGAAGGTTTGTGATTGGCCTTCCGCTTATCGATCTTCGTCCTCGGGGCCCCTGATAAAGGCTGATTTCTGCAGCCGTTCCTTACGTCTCCAATAAGCTAGCACACGTTGTGCTGCCTTCTACTTCGTAGGAGCCACGGCCATGGTGGGTTCGCTCTCATTTCTAACTCACGCCGTGAGATGGCGCTGCATGAAAGAGGCAAGCCGTGAAGCGCGCGACCGCGCCTTTCTTCCGCGCACAAAGGCCCGGCGTGGGAAACGCTTTCGTTCAAGAGGTATAAGTCTGCAATCATCCGGCATAAATACTTTCAAATAAAGGTTGGGAACTCCACCCCTTATATCTGATTCAAACCAGCAGTTTTAATCTGGAAACTTGGCGAGAAAGTCTGCGAGAAATCCGGCGGCTGTGATTGGCCGACGCCAGACTTGACCTTAGCGCCGGCCAATCACAGTCACCAGATTTCTCGTCGACGTTTTCGCCAAGTCTACAAATCAAGGCCCCAGGGGCCCTAAGATGGATGTCTGGCGAGAATGTCGGCGAGATTTTCGACCGCCGCGATTGGCCAGGGGCCCTAATCTGGACACTAGGCGAGAAACTCGGCGAGAAATCTGGCGGCCGTGATTGGCAGACGCCACACTTGACCTTGGCGCCGGCCAATCAGAGCCGCGGGATTTCTCGCCGACTTTTTCGCCAAGTGTCCAGATTAGGGCCCCAGGGCTGACCAATTGCGGTGGTCAGAAATTTCCCCGACTGTTCTGCCGAGTCTTAGTGTTCCAGGCGCGAGTGGATAACCTGTTCTTTTTTATACCTTTTCAGGGGGAACCTGGCGTAAGGAAAATGCTTGCGATACTGAGAGAAGAGTTGGATCGAGCGCTGGCACTGATGGGTATGCGATATTTATAACTCCGCTCTCCCCCCCCCCCCCCCCCCCCGCTCACACACACACACAGAAAATCTACTGCAATAGTGGCAGGTCTGCAATGTTTGACGCGTAATATTAAAATCATTGGTATTTAAAAAAGAGCGTAGGGGTTGGCGAGTTTTATGCATCTTATTATCGAAGAGAAGCCAATGAGAATTCGGCATTGGCCGGGAAGGACGCCGAATAACGCATGAGGGAGCGACAATCATGAACTTAAAATGCCCAACTTTTCTTTAAGCTTTGAATGACTACACATGTGGGGTCAGCCGACTAGCCGAAAGCCCCGCAAAGCTTGATGTGCTCTTAGAACGAGGCATGCGCTCGTGTGCCTTCCCACCTGCATAACGGTTGCTACTGGCACGGCTGCAGCACCGACCGTTGTTCGTTAGCAGACGATGGTCCCTATAGACCATCCTACGGTCAATGCTTGCGAGCTGCTATATTTTTTTTGTACTGCGCTGTGGAATGCTTTTTGAAAAGGCACACTGTCTTTCTTCTGCCTGTTATCCTACGGTCCTGTACAACTCTGCATATTGTGCTCACACGAAGAGCAACGGAAAGGTGTATCTTTCGTTCCGCCGCTAAGCTGGAAAGAAGGTGGATGTATACTTATAGTTTCCGTATCAATCAATCGCCTCCCGCTAATTTTAGGAGAATTTCCCCGATATATTTAGCTGGAATTCAGTGTCACGGGACGCCACGGGGCTACTCGGCGTCACAGTGTTACGTGATGCAATGGTGTCACTTGGCGTCACAGTACGTTGCCTGGAACGCGTCTCCCACTGTTGCCTTTTGCAGCGTCAAAAAAAAAAGTGGACCCTCGATTTCCGACTGATGACGTCAGAGAAGCGCCATGTTGTCGTCGAACGCGATCCTAGCGGTGTCACAGCTAAGGTAGTAGGTGGTGCAGACGTGTGCTCTGCTGCAAGTCACTCTCCACCCTCTTGACAGTTCTCGGAGGCTTCGGCAGCCGGGAGTTGGCACGCAGTGACAATAATGACACTCGCTTTTTTTTTTTTTACGGAATTTTCGTGATTAACCATTAGGAACGCGATATTCGAGTGTTACACTCCCGCTTCCGTGACGTAATTTTGCCACTTCCCGACCACTTTCGATGCGCAAGTCAGTGGGACGCTAAACACACCAGTCGAGACGCGTTTCAAGTACCATAGTTCCATGCAGTACCACATAAATACTCTTGGTTAAAGGTGACGAGCCGTAAGTCCACCAAAGGGGCGCGTTTGTTCACCTTCTCTGGAGTTCGAGTGTTTGGCACACCGTTCACTAGAGGGACAGGAGCGCCTCCGGAGACTGACACTCTGGCGCGCTCCTCGTGCAACGAGTGATTTCTTCGCGCTCCGTGATTTTATGACCACCAACAAGATAGCTGCGCCAACCAGAAATTTTGTCGAAACAAAGGCCACTTCCGGAGCGCTGCCATTTTTCAGTTGAAGAGTGCTTAACTTAGCAGGTAAAAACTATTTGATATGAAAGCCACGACAGCAATTAGCGCTCCGGGAAAGGTTTGTTCGTGCACCTCGCCTGAAAACGAAATGATCTACCAAACGGTAGCGTGTCGATAGCACAGCGACAGAAAAAGGTTTTTGAGATGAGAAGACATTCGGACCACTGCCCTTTTTTGGAATGTTCAGCCCAGAGAATAAAGATACTTAGATTGGAAAGACGAAACGTCAGTTAGCGTTGCTGGAAAGGTTTGTTCATGCATATTGCTTGAAAACGAATTAATCTATCGCACGGTAGCGTGCCGATAGCTCGGGGTCAGAAAAAAATGTCGAAATGAAAAGACAGTCGGACTGCTGCCTTTTTTAGAATGGTTTGCCGAGCCCCAGCGAATAAATATACTTTGATTTAAAAGACGAAACATCAGTTAAGATTTCGGGAAAGGTTTGTTCACGCTTCTCGCCTGAGAAAAAACATCAGTTAAGATTTCGGGAAAGGTTTGTTCACGCTTCTCGCCTGAAGACGAATTGACGTGCTAGATGTATTAAACGATGGTGTGCCGGTATCGGCGTAGCACATCGACAAGTTCAGTCTCGCGCTGCAGGACGGAACAACCGAATCCTTGACAAGTTTTACAGTTTACTGAGTAATGAAACGAGTTGAAAAAAGTTTTCTTTGATTTAAATCTGAAGAACATGCTTAAGCAATAAATAGACCGGTCAAGGTAACTTTCCGCATGTGTGCTCGAAGCGAGTCGGCGAGTCTTTCACGAATATCAAAACATCCGTAGAAAATTCCTAACGACACCGCCTTTTTTTTAAGTATACATGTTGTCATTTTACAAACGTATTCTACTTAATTTATCTTTGATATATTTTCGGCTTCTGCCACTCGTATCCACGAGATACCGGGTTTGTAATTACCGCGCGGTCGGAAGTGGCCCATGCGGCTCGTCAGTAGGTTCGGTGTGTCGTGCTCCCGAGTCGCTAGCCTCTTCGAACACAAAGTTGGTGCCGAAGTTCGCAGAGCGTGCTCATTGGACCCTCGCAACGATGGCGTCACGCGGGACAAGATGTCAATCATCCGAACACTCCCGCTGCTCAAAATACAGCGAGGTCGTTGAACACGAAGTTGTTGTGAGCTTCATCCGAGCTCGTGCGAGGAACACCGTGGGGCCAGACGATTGAACGGCTGCACTGATGACGTCGCCCCCACGTGTCCCCACATCCCTACGCCGTGTTACAGTCTATGCTTTCGAGATTGTTCCTAGGCGGTCTGTGGAAACTCTGAACTTTTTCGTCGCAATATTGTCGTCTGTAGAAGCAATTGGTGACGACAAAAAGACGTTTCACAACTTTGGGAAGGAGTTATTTGAGGCCAAAATCTTCGCTTTGGAATCGAGGCGAAGATTGAACTCTGTGATATCGTGGAGCCGTGCTCGGTGAACGTGGCGGTAGACCTCATCTTCCGCCACTGTCAACAAAGCTATCGGAGTCACTCAGAAGTGGTGTGTGTAGTGGCGTGGGTAGTGTTCGAGACATCAGGGGGCGACGGGGGATGGGGAAAAGAAACGGGAGAAAAATACGACAAAACAACAACAACAACAACAACAACCTAGGGGTCAGGAAGAGTCGTACAAAATGTTCGGGAGAGAGAAAGAGAAAGAGAGGGGGAGGGGGTGGGGTGATGGTAATTAAGAAGGGGGATATCTCTTCCCCCGAATTTTTACAGCGGAGAGTTCAAGGGCTAGTTTCCCCAGGATCGTATCCCCCGCAAAGAAATGTCGACACAAAACTGTCGACAGCTACCGCCATCTATGAGCGATGGCGGCAACCAGACAATCGTTTTGGCGGCCTTGCTCATAGTTGGCGATAACCCTTCCCTACTTTCCACTCTGGTTTTCACCAGAGTGGAAAGGCTGAATTTCTCTAGGCGTCGTCCTAGATGTCGTCCTCGAGGTCGTCCAAGAAGTCGCCCTTGAGGTCGTCCTAAGCGTCGTCCTTGAGGTTGTCCTCGAGTTCGTCCAAGAAGTCGTCCTTAAGGTCTTCTGACCATAGCACAGATTCGCTGGCCTTCCTTTTTCAACAGAGTGGAAAAGCTAAAAGATTTTTATTATACATTACTGAAATGTCTGGTCACAATATAGGATATTAGAATGGAAAGTTGGGCGAGTTGGTATGAATTCATTTTGAAAAACAGCGCGAATACCACACGGACAAGAAGGAGGAACACACAGGACGAGGCGCTGACTATCAACTGTCTATTCAGAACACATACATAGAAATTCACGCGAGGTCGGCTTCTTTTTTTTCCTCTTCCAGTCATTCGCCATTAAGCACGCAACATATCAAATTAAAACACACGAGTACATTAAAACACACCAGCACAGGTATAAGTCATCGCGTCTTCCTCTTTTCTTCTTTCTTGGATCTTCAATCTTCAATTCTCAGGTCAACCCATGTCCAAAAAAATTACCTCACTGTCCACTAGGTTAATGGATGGTTGGCTCACGCACCCGGGTTTTCGTTTTGCTATATGATAAGCTTCTACTAGCTCCCTCGATAGCTGATCTTTGTGTTTAAACAGCACTTTTGTGTCACTAAATTTTGGCTCACATCCACAATCACGGCAGTGGACCGCTAAATGGGAGTGCGCGTTACCTTTTAATGAACTGTGGTGTTCGCGTAGACGAATGTTGAGGCAACGACCCGTCTGACCTATATATGAGTGACCGCATGAGAAAGGTATTTCATAAACGGTCCCCTGTGCACAGGACACGAACTTCATGCCATGCTTGACGCGACATCCAAACAGTTCTGGCTTACTTTTCCTGTCAGCTCGCTTGTTAACCACGTTTATAATTCTGCTCAGTTTGTTACGCGCTGAAAAAATTACATTGACCCCATACCTCGAACCGACTCCCTTTAACCCGTGTGAAAGACGATGGATGTAAGGAATAACGGCGACATTCTTTTTGTCTATCTTGGCTTTTTCTTTTTCAGGTTTACTGGAATCACTCTTGATATACCGAGTCACCTTATCGCAGGCTGAAGTAATAATTGAGTCGGGAAAATTAGAGTCTCTGAGTCTAGCGACCTGTACTGAGAAGCTTTCTTTCATCTTATGAAAACAGGTTTTTGTCAACGCTGACTGTAAGCAGGAATACGCAATACCGTTTTTTACGAGCTTTGAGTGTGCTGAACGATAGTCTAGTAGTTTCTTCGTGGATCTGGGGTGGTGCATCCAACATACATGATCTCCTTTCACGTCAACTAGGATGTCTAAAAACTGGATTTTGTGCTCCTTAGGAGTCTCGGAAGTGAAGCGGAGTCCTAACCCTTCCTCCGCGAACGTCTTTAACACTTCACTCATTGTTCTACTAAAATTGTTTTTTTCAACGAAAACCAGGTAATCATCTACATATCTGACAACCTTTTTGGTGTTGTTCTCCAGCCTGTGCTCAAGGGCCCTATCAACTTTACCTAGAAAAATACTGCTCAGCA